TAAGACTGCTGTGTTTATGTATAAAGCCAGGAACAATTTATTACCTGGTGGAATTCAAAAACTATTTAATGAAAGGGGTGTGGTGTACATTTTGTAATAATTCTTTAGTATATTACTTGTGTGATGTAAGAATGTTAACACTGTTATATTCTTTTTTTAGTATAATATGTGTGTGGGTAGAAGTGAATCATTTACTGCTTGCAAACCAATGATGGTAAGATGATGTCATGGGGTAGGACTGGATAAGTCTGACTTCTTCCTACTCCATTCAAGCATGTACTAGGTATAAGCAAATTGATATTGGATTATGTGTAAAATTATGTGTGTTGTCATATCAACTGTCTTTACCTACTTGAAAGAATAAATCAAATCAAATCAAGGTTAAATATTACTCTTTATGAATTTTTTAAAATACACAAAAAGCTCATGTTTGGAAAATACGTCTCAGAGCCAAGAAAAGATCATTTCCCAGAAAAGTTAATGAGCGACACCAATGTGTGTCTGCGGTGCAGCACACACTCAAAGTAGCATGAGAAAATGTTTGTGGCAAATTTTCCAGGTAAAAAACGTTCACTGCAGTGAATGGCAGCCATTACGACCATTGGTTCTCATAATAGTGTACATGAGTGTAACTCTTTCACTTCCCTCTGCTCATCTACAAATCTTGTCAGAGTGACTGTGACTCCCCCACCCACCCAAAGGGGAAGTGGAGGTGCAGGGGTACGGTGCTTACAAGAATCTCTCCCTTTGCCATAAAAAGGAGGAACAGAAGAGGAGAAAGAGGAAAGAGAAATAAGAAAAGGACACAGATAGGAGCAAATGAATGTGGAGCAACATAAGGCAACAATGACAGAAGAGAAGGGCTGAGAGAAAGAAAAAGAAATAAAAAACAGCAGGAGACAGCAGCTGCTATGATGCTACAGTGAGGTGAGGGAGTGTAAGTGTGTGTTTAGTTACCTGATTGGGCATAACTCTCTTCTTGGTAACATTAGCAGCAGTCCTTTGTTGGGCGCTTCAGGAAAGAGATTCAACAAGTATATAGTATAAGATACAAAACACATTCAAAACATGGCAAAAGATGATCCAAGAATGAAGGGAGGGCCTAACCAAACCATATGATGCAATTTATATATTTGTGAGAGGGCTACAACTAATGAGTATTATCACTAAATTATTATTCCGTCCATTATTTTTTTAATTAATTGTTTGGCCTTTAACTTTTCAGAAAATGATGAAAAATTTCAGATTCTTTATCTGTCTGATCAACAGTCTGAAACCGAAAGACATTCAATCTCTCATGTGATGAAGAAAAACAGCAAATCCACTCAAATCACAGACTGGAACTAGGGAGTGTTTTTGGGCTTTACATAAATAATTTATCTATTTTCTGTCCAAACGAGTGATTCATTCTTTCAGCTTTGCCATTGCTATAATACATTATAATAATTATAACAAAACAAAAACACAGTCAATAGTCACAGTGATATACAGTACGCTATATCATATACCTGAAAGGACTTCATGTTTTTCTGCAGCCAAGAGGAAGAACAATACATACTAAAGATGCTGTACAACTGGATAAGTAACAACTGACCATTCAATGTTAACTCTGTATGAATGACACTGGCCTGGTGCTTCTGAAAATCCTTGAATTCTCAGCATTTTTTCTTTTTACTTCTGACAGCTCAAACAGTGGTGGTAAGGGTCCAGTATTAGCTTAGTGAAGACTTGCTGTAAACTTAATGATGTATGTGTCCACCAACAACTAACGTGTTTTGCATAACTGCACAAGACATTTCTGAGGTACTGTACTTCAGACCAGTCTATTTTTCCAACTAAAATGTCCTCACTACAAATCTTGTAATAATTAAGATTAGAGAACCCTTATCAAAATGTTTTTCATTAAAAAAAAAAAGAATTTCAGTCTATATAATGTTATCCAGTATTAGACAGGCTATAGTAATTCTGATTCCTTTTGTCTTGCTTTAAACTGTTATTTCATTGAAGCTTAATTTCTGCCCAGGAAATTTTGATCATTCTAACAGTTCCTAACAGATTTTATTGGACCTTCCCTCTGTATCAGCAGACTTATGATAGGATACAGATCATTTGTCTCTGCTGATCTCCTGTTATGTCTTACTTGGCAAATCCAATGAAGTCCTCATGGTTAGTGTTGATGTAGGAGAGCTCAATGTCGATCAACAGCAGCACCTGACATGCAAAATGTGACACATATTATGTACACTAAAGAAGAGTAACCATCCAAATGTATAGCCACCTGTAGCATCGCACACCCACCTGGTCTTTGGTCTTGCCCTCTCTCTCTCTGACGTAGGTGGTGACAATTCGCTCTGTCTCGTCTCTCAGTCTAGGGTACGAACCCAGCTAGAGAAACATGTGCAAAACACACACACACACACTGCTGCAAGTACTGTGATCACAAGGTACACACCCGCTATATGCAGGCTTACATAACACTGTATACATACTGTGCATCCTCATAAGCAGCTACACCCAGTAGGTAAACAAATATGGGGCACAACATTTTACTGAGGAGGCATGCACGAACACATTCCCTATCAGCTTGAGACTTCTTGTCAGCTGTAGACGTTGTGACAGCATCTAGGCTTTATACAAGTGTATAAAGAACAGTGAATTAAAATCAGCTGTAGCATATTACGATCTCAAGCTGGTAGTGAGTCTCAGGACATCAGGGAGGAAAAATGAAAAAGATCAGGGGAGAGTCCAGAAGGAGACAGATTGTACAGGATGTGGAGGAGTCTTGGTGAAGTTGTAATACTGGTGTGAATAGACCAGGAAAGGGTGTATCACAGGAGGAACATATAAAGGATCTCCCTTGACAAGACAGGGTGAGAAACAACCACAATTGTGTCATTTCTAAGCAGCTAAATTTCTTAGTGTGAGAGTGGGGATGTGATTTACAGGTGAGACAGAGTGGCAGGTTGTTAAATCACTGATGGGGTAAGTGAGCTAGTAGGGGTGCAGGCTCAAAACGGGGTGGGGCTCTTAGATTTGTCATTAAAGAGGGAACCACAGGGTGAGGAGGGTGCTGAGTGAAGCCTTAAAGCAGCAGTGAGGAGGAACGCTCAACAACTAGACAGTGACAAATTAGTTCTTTTGATTTTTTTGTATTTGATTGCTCTGTGTCATTGTTTGCTCTTTCCCTTTCATCGGTCTTTCCACTGTTCCTGGTTACCTTTTCAGTGCACTTCCTGATCAGGGCGACAAGCTCGGTAACGACGAGGTCAATGCATTTCAGACAGGGGTCTTTCAGCTTAATGACCTGATTTTTCACTATTGCTTCAAATGCCAAGTCAGGGGTGAACAGGCCTGTCCTGTGGTGAGGCACCATGGAAGTTGGAGTTTTAATGTCAGGTGAAGAAGGAGGTGGTGCAGCGTGGGCCATGGTGAGGGGAAAGGTGGTAGAAAAATGTTGGATGGGACAGTTTGCAAGAGGGGGGGGAACAGAAAGGGTTTCAAGAAGGAAAAGAAGATGACAATTGAGGAATATGACAAAGAAAAAAAAAACAGGCATTCAGTTAGTTCTAGTCCATGTTCAGAACAGAAACAAGCTGCACATTCTCAAACATGTTCATCGCGATTCCAGCCTTGTGGAATGTGTGTGTGCGTGTTTGCATGAGCTCACTGCTTTTTAGCCACGCTAGCAGTGCGGCTCTAGGTCAGACCAAAATGTTTCAGCAACTACTGGATGCACCGCCATGAAACAGATATGCATTTCTCAGATGATTACAGTTTTTCTCTATCGCTTTCATTCATTTCTCATAACAGAATTGAAGTTTGCAGATCTCCAAGTGCATTTCTCAAAACAACACGTACAAACTGCACAACATAGTGGATATCCGGAAAAAACGCGTCACCTGCTCAAAATGCTTTGTCTATCGTGCAAAAGTGTGTTTTTTCATCAATCATTGTGTCAGAGGCAGCAGAATCCCATGTCATTTCCTCAACAATGTGAACGTGACAGGCAAAATTATTAGTCATGTTGTCAGTAGAACATCATACTCAGTTTTT